CTTCCCTGGATCCACCATCACCCTGAGCTGCTTGGGCTCCTGCTGACAGCAAGCCAAGGCCCTGGGGATGTTAAAGTCTGTGACATTTGGGAACAGACACAGCCTCTGTCACCCAAACCTCATCCAGCACCACTCACTTCCAGGCACAACACTCACTGTTGCAGGGGTGCAGAACTTGCATCCTCAAAGGTCTTCCCAGAGTCACAGAACACAGGGCTGGAAGGGAACACAGACATCACCTAACATCTCCATCCCCAAAGCAAAGCTGGCTGCTGTTACAAGGTAAGTTTGGTGAGACCTGAAAGCAACCGCACTGGCTGCACCTTTGTGCATGCCTCAATTTGAAACCTGTCTGATGCTGGAAGGGACATGGCAGCTGCTTCAGAACAAACAGCACACTCGAGCAAGACAAGAACTGAAGGAAAAACACTGTCCATTTTAGCCTGAAACCACAAGAAAAACAGAGATAGTAAAAAAGAATGAGCAACTTGATCAGGAAACATGAGTTAGCCATGCAGCTCCATGGAAAATACCAAGGGCCTGTCAGGAACCACACAAGGTCAGGATCTGGGGTTTATATCTTGTCTGCAAGACAAAACTTCCAGTGAGATTTTCTAAAAGGATCTCATGTTTGGTGATGTTTGGTACCAAAAATAAACTCTCAGAGGATCATAATGTTTAATACATGACGATTTCTGACACTGTTTTCCAACTAATAACGGAAAGACTCATCTGGCTGAAGTTTCCAGGCTTTGTTTTATGAAAGTCTTACTCTTTGGGTTATCTGAATGTTTAACTTAGGGGGACAATTACGAATTGCTCTTGTCTGGACTGCAGCAAAAAAAACCCACACAGGATTACTGTTTGATGATGTCTGTGAAGAAAAGCATCGTCCTTTCACAACAGCTGATACAGGCTGGGCTGTACTAATGAGAACCCCCTCAGTCTGAATGATGAGATCCCACTATACTTTTGGCTAAGCCAGCCCTTTCTTGTCCCTTTGCTCCTGTGTAATCACTCAGCTCCTTCCTCTTGGCAATGTCAGACTTTGAGACCAGAACCGAGTCCCATTTTTCAGTGCTTCTTTCTGACAAAACCTACTTAAAAATGCCTGGGAAATGGTGAAGGATCAAGTGTTCCCAGCACCATGCACCGCTCCCCATCCCAAAGACCCTTTCTCCTTTGGAGAGGGCTTGCTGCAGTGGCTAGGAGCTCAGAGGGGTCAGCTGGTCCCAGATGGAGCCGAGCTTTTCTGATGTAGTTGCCTGACCATCAGAATCTGGATGGCAGCCCTGAATTCTTTTCTCGCAAGTCACTTGGACAGGCACCAGATGGTAAATACTTTCAGTCTCTCCTAGCCCGGGTCTAGGGTGGAAGCAGTGACCTCAAGGTAAAAGATTGCCTGGCCCGTTCCTTGTCCCTTGGGGTGGTCAGTCCTCCCAGCCCAGCTCCACTCTCCAGTTAAGGTGTAACAACCAGAGGGAATAAAAATGGCCAGACAGGGATGGAAATGGCCATCATCACCTTGCTCAGCTCTTGCTGTTTGAAACTGGAGCTGGATTCATTCTGGGTAGGAAACAACTTTCCCATCCTGCCAAAAACAAAGGTATTTCAAACTTTCCCAAAGCCGGGGTGTTTCCAGAAGTCTCATGAACAACAGTCAGTATCCAAAAGCTGAGGGAGACCTGAGATGTCTCCTTTTCAGCTCAGGGCTTTTCCAAGCTGGGCGTCTGTCCAGGTTTCTCACCAGTGCTGTTCACCCTCCACAGGCAGCCCTGCTACCCTGCACAGGGATTTGAGCCAGGAGTGCCCAGAAGCAAAGAGAACATCCTTCCCACCAATGTATGGAGCTGGGCCCACCCTTAATTCATGATGAAGAGAAACAGACCCAGCAAGGACCCAGGACAGCCTAGCTGCTCCCTAGCAGAGATGGATGTCCAAACCTGGGTATGTCTTCAGCCAGCCACGGTGTTCAACACACAGTGTTGAAAGAAGGGAAGAGTCCTGAGCAAAGGAAAGGGATGGAGGGAGATTATGGTCTATATCCATCACAGATGGATGCAATTTCAGCTGAGCAGGGTGCTCAAATGAGAACTTTGCAGTGTTATTCATGATGGCATGTTAAATGGCACAGACATAAAAAACCAGCTGTCCAAAATGTAAATTCACTGGGTCAGTTCCTTCATTTCTATAGAAACAGCAGAGCTTGCCAGCGGCTAACTCAAAGGAGATGTATTCAGATTCCTGTATCAACTATTTTCTTGCACAACTGACCACAAAAAACCAAATATTACAACTCCCAAAAAAACCTGAGGATAATACCATGGAAACTGTGGAGCACAACATATGGACTTAATTACTAGCTATGAAATCACACGTATGGTACAGAACATATATGGGCTACATGCTCCAGAGGAGAAGGGTTATAACTGACTATCTGTAAAATGAACTGCTAACATGCTGCTCTCATGCAGGTTTGCAAACCAAAACCTGTGCAAGGGCTGTATTGCTCTGCCAGGCCCAGTCTGCAGCCCTGACACAGAGACCTGGATGGGCATCTGACCCCTGGAGAGCCAGGAAAAGGGAAGCTCAAGCCTGTATCACCCACAGAAAAGCCCCCTTGGGAAGGCAGTCACGGTAGACTTTCTGGGTATCCCCCCAGCCAGGTCCTCTGGGCATCCCCAAAATCCAGCGAGGTACCGATGGGGACTGCCAGTGGCAGCTGAAGTATGGGAGCTGGATAGGTATGCAGCGGTGGGTTTGGCCCCTGTCTGGCTGCTTGACTCAGTGCTGCAGCTGCCTGAGCTTTGCTGGCTTCCTGGTGATGTCATCCCATCACAGTGATGTCATCCCATCACAATGATGTCATCCCATCACAGTGACGTCATCTTACAGCAGTGAAATCTCAGTGACATCAGGTGGTGGTGATGGGAAAGTAACGTCCCCTCTTATCCCAAGCTGAGAGAAAGAGTAAAGAAGGGGTCTCTACCCCAAAGAGCCAAACCTGTACCCCAGAAAGGGCAGGCAGGGGGTCAATGGCCAGTGGGCTCCCCTGAGCCACAGCCCCTTTGGGGGTGCCCCAAAGCCTCACACACGATGCTGTTGGCTGCTTCCAGAGATGCTCACTGCAGGCAATGAGAGGTTTTTATTTCCCTTACCAGCACCAGTCACCTGATTTCTAACTGGGGAATGAAGTCATGCCCATTCATCAGGAGTCCCTAACAAACACAAGCCTGGAATAATTAATTGAGCTCCCCATCCCCCTGTGGCAAGGCTGGATCAGTGCTTTGGCTCATAGAGGCACCACAGCCACCTCCGGCACATCTGGCTGAGCTGCAGCATCTCAAATGTGGTGGCCAGAGGGAGGGCACCAGCTCCTGGAGTGCAGGAAAAAGCAGCACCACAGGATATGGCTCCAGCTTTCAGTATGGAACCTTCTGGCTTGTTGGTAGAGCCTGAACCCCCCTGGTAGCAAGGACAGAGCAACGTGCAGTCCTCACACCTCCCCTGTAGCACACAGGGATGCCAGTGCAGATCCCTGGACCTGCAGGCATGGCTTAAGTGATGCAGGGAGCTGGGCCTCCAACACGAGGAGCAGCGCTGGGAAGCCTTTGGAAGGTGGCCTGGTATTTCTGCAAGCTGCCGTGACCTCCTTAACAGGCTGATTGCAGCTAATGAAGCAAAACCAAAGCGGAGAATGCGGGTGGTAAGAGGAGAGCTCTGGCTGCGTGCTCGTCCCTGCTGAGCTCTGCCCGCCCTGCTCCACGCCCTGGCTTCCAGGGTATAGCAAGTGTCAGAGCTGAGGTCAGGCAAGGAGCCGGGAGAGCTGCAGAGCATCCTGCACCCCTGTGTGAGCTCAGGCCTTTCCTTTGAGCTCTGGACTCACAAATTCCCTTTCTCACATCTTGTGATAAGATCTGGGGGATGAAAATGTAGAGAAGGGGCTCAGTTTCCTGAAGGTCTTGAGATACTTAGTTTTCTCTTGCCTAAGAGCCAGTCTTGCATCCCCCAGGCACAGTGGCCAAGAAAGCTCACACAGGGCAGGCTGACAAGTGGTACAGCATTGGGAGGCAACTGCTGAGCACCCACTTCTCTTCCTCAAGCTTGGATTTTAAATTCTCATGTTGCTTAAGACAGCTGTAATTTTCAGGAGCTGAATTTGGGGTTACAACAGTTGAAGTCACCAGGGCCAGACTGCAGCCTCTGTGCATCACGTACTCAGAGCAATGAAACACAATGTGCATCCAGCCCCCTCCTGCCCCGTGGCCTCCTTGGGCAGGCCCAGCCCCACGCAGGACAGGGATGCTGTGCCAGGCAAATGGAGAGGGAAGCACACCTTTACTGTATGGAGAGCTTGCCTGGAAAACTGCTGCAGCCTGAGCTGATTATACACTGTCCAGGGAAAGGATCCTGCCCTTGACTTCAGGGCCAGCTCACCCCTCTCCCACATCCTGCCATGCACTGGTCTTAGCATAAAATACAGCAGTGGGTGCCCTGTTCCTGCTTGGTCGTGGCAATGTCCAATGGGTCAGCCCTGCCAAACTCTTCAAGCCCAGGAGGAAGACCCCAGCTTGCCCTGGGCAGACCCTGCTCAAGCAGAAAGGAAGAGGCACGGACCTTCCCTCCTGGTTGCAGTGAGCAGCAAGGACCTGGTTCACCCCCCAGCCTTGTGCTGTGTTCCCTGGGGAGAGTGTCCCATCCCATCCCATCCCATCCCTTCCCTTCCCGTCTCGGTGGACAGCACGTTCTCACCTTGAGGGGAGTGGAAATGGCAGCTGGAATGTGGGCTGGAAAGAAAAAAAAGAAAGCAAAAAAAAAAAAGAGAATCTTGAGGCTTGTCCAAACCTACTCATGTTTATATTGGAGCCTGTGAGTGACATCAGAGCAGGGAGAGTATAAACACCAGCAGGACCTACTCAGGGCTTTAAAACCTGCGAACACGCCGCTGCCTCCAAACTGCCTGGGGGGTGATGTGCTGCAGTGGCAGAGGGGAGAGCAGCATGAGGCTCCAGCTGGAGAAGCAGCTCCTCTTCCTCTCCCTCCTCTGCATCCTCTCCAAGGTAAGGGAGCCGGGGCCCTGGGGCTGCTTTAGCCTTAGTCGGGGAAGCACCCGGTTCTTGTGAAGTGAGATGCAGGGAGGACTGGGGTGTTCCAAGGAGCCTGGTGGCTAACGCTGGCAGGCAGGCTGGCTGTACTTACGCAGTCCCACAGGGACAGGGCTATGCTTAGGAGAGACATCTGCAATGAAGCAGCAGGGTCTTAACGTTCATGGGCCAATCTGTTGGGCAAGTCCAGGGAGCACACAGGAATGACAGCAATGCGCTCTGTTTGCTCGCCTGGCCCTGCAGCTCTCGGGGCTGTGGTATGTGTCCCTGCGAGCGAGCCCCAGCTCGGCTCCTGCAGACTCCTTCGTCTCCCAGGGCAGGAGGCCAAGCCCTGAGCACCGGTCTCGGCATTACACAGCTCTCCCCCTGCCCGGGATGATCATGCAAAGCCAATGCCTCTGACAGGATTTGAAGTATTGTAGTGATTTCTCTTTTCTCTTGGATTCTATGTGAAAATAGTTGCATGTGCTGAGAACAGGGATGTTGAAAAGTGTGGGGTATCTCAGCTCCAAGTTCTAATTGCTGCTTGAATCCCAAGGCAGACCTTCTGCAAGCAGGGACATTGTGGCAGCATCGTGCCTGTTTTGACTCCTTTCCCAGACATTTAAGATCTCTGATAGGAACCACATTGTCATCTAAAGACAAGTTAATTACAAGGAGCAAGGGGAAATGGATTAATGGCTTGGCTAAGCTTTCTAAAACATTGATTTGTAATAGCAGCCTCCTGAAAGATGAAAAATGCCCTTGGCTGCCTGGGTAAGCTGTGAGGGAGAAATGAGTCCTGCCCCAGGCACTCATGAGTGCCTGGAGAATCACCAAAGGCCCTCATTCTGCAGCCCAAACCTGGCTTCCACAGCCAGTGCTTCAAGCCGCAAGTCGCTCTCTGGTTTCTGCCACACTAATAATGCTGCCCATTGAGAGAACTAGAACAAGAACCCGGGTTGCCCATCCCATTCTGGGTATATTTTACCCCCAGCGGCTAGCATTGACATTTGTAAAGCCCCATACAAAGCCATCTGAACTGCTTCAAATGGGGAACAGAGAGCACACCAGTACCTGCCTTCTCCAGCTGTTTATGTCAGACCTGATGCTACTGGGAGAAACTAAAAGAGAAAGAAAAATGGTATCTAAAACCACATGGTCCAGATGTGAACCCATCAATCTCTTGGCAATCTCAGCGGACACACCAGGACATGGCCCAGCATGGGATGAATGCTTTGTTTGCATGTTGGCTGAGCACGTGCTGGCCATGCAGTGGAGCAGCAGGGCTGCTGGAGGGTGGATCAGAGCTGCCGCATGCAGCTCGCATGTGCTGCCAGGCCAGTGCTGGCAAAGAACCCGCTCCCAAGCGGCAGAGCCAACTCACTTGGCTTCAGGCTCTATATGCAACAGCTCTGTCATATATGACATGACAGGAGTGTAAGCGCTGCCTGCAAAAGCTGTTGGTGCCAGGGTAATTGTGCAGGCAGAACAAGCCGTGGATATAAACACCTACCTGCTCAGGGGAACTCCTGCAGGCACATCCCTGGCAAACAGTCACTGAGCAGGCGAACGGCTGCCGTGCACATCCATGCCAAATTGATTACTCGGTCTAGCTAGGAGGGGAAATGTAATTCCCAGTCCTGTGCCTATCGCAGGGCTCGTTTCCCAGCAGGCCAGGCCAGGCAGAGCATGCTGCAGCCAGGGACAGACAGAGGAAGCAGCTGGACCAGGAGGGAAGCAGCGAGGTTTGCTTGGCGGCAATCCCCCCACTGCCAATGCAGTGCCCCATTTCTTGGCATGAATGAGGGCTGTGGGGACTGTCCAGAGTGAGGGGCTGTGCCCTTACCATGTGCGTTTGGCCCCTGGAAAGTCACATCTCCAGCTGGGTACAACCTGCTGCCCCGGAGCCAGGCTGCTTTCCATCACCACCTCCGTCCTGCTGGGCTTCTTAGGGCTGCCAGCCCAGTTAAATATGTTAAATAACCACCATTACATGTGATGCTCACTTTGTAGCTCCATCCTCTTCCTCTATATTCAGAGTAGTGGTGCCTTTCAGTCCCCACCCTGCAGAGAGCTGAGCATTCCTGATTCTCCCTGGTTTTCCATTAGGGTACATTGTGCCCTAAGGGAACAGTAGCTTTCCAGGCTGCTTTACTGTATTCCCATGGATATGCAGAGCCTCCCTCCACCAAAAATCTGCCCCCACGAGTAAGAGAAGGTTATGTATCTGTGCCAGTGAAACAGCCAAACCCAACCTGCATGGAACCAGCGATGGCTTTGCCTCTGCAGGTGTGTGCCCAGCTGTGCCGGAGACCATGCTACTGCCCCTGGGTGCCCCCCCGCTGCCCCCGCGGGTCCCCCCTGGTCCTGGATGGCTGCGGCTGCTGCAAGATCTGTGCCCGGCGCCTGGGAGAGCCCTGCGACTTCCTCCACGTCTGTGACCAGAGCCAGGGCCTCGTGTGTGACTACAGCACAGCATCCATGGGGAGAGGAGCCACCTGCAACTGTGAGCACAGGGGTGCCCGCTCCCCACAGGGATCCCGGCGCCCCCGGCTCCAGCCGTGGCCCGAGCCAGCTCCAGACATCTCGCAGCTTTCAGGGGAGCAGTTAAAGCTAGGAAGGCTGCTTTAGCGAGGACGAGCACGCAGCTTGGCCGCAGGGCTGTGCTGCAGCTCCAGCTCTTGTGCTGTTTGCTGACAGCAAACAGGGGTGTTTGAGCGGGGATGGACACGGGGGTCCCAGGGATGCTGCAGTCATCCTGCGGGGGATGGAGCCTGGGGGGCCTGCAGAGAAATCTCGGGGAAACGTTTCCTAGCCTGAAAGCCCTGAAAGGCAAGTTCAGAGCCAAAGGACAGTGGGTTTCTCATCTAATAGTGAGATGAGGAGAGGAGGTAGAGAAGGGGAGGAGGCTGAGCGATGCAGATGCTGATGCAAACTCATCTCTGCCCCATGTTCCTCTCAGTCACTTCTGTGACCCCCCTAGTTCAATCTCTATGTTCTCCCCAGCAGTCCCCTCTGCCATCCACACCTCTTTGTCCCTAATGGGCTCCCTGGGTGTCACTTGCAGTCGAAGACACCGAGGAGGGCTGCGAGGTGAATGGCCGGGTCTATCGGGATGGGGAGTTTTTCCAGCCCAGCTGCAAGCTCCAGTGCCGCTGCCTGGACGGGGGCTTCACCTGCATCCCACTGTGCCAGGAGGACATCCGGCTGCCCACCCCAGACTGCCCCTACCCGCGGCGCGTGGAGGTGCCAGGGAAGTGCTGCCCTGAGTGGATCTGCGAAACCCGGGACCAGCACCATCTCCTCCAGGATGCTGGGGCAGGTAAGGACATGCCAGTGAGAGGATGCCCACACAGGTCTCTGGGGATGGTCCCTTCACCTCAGACTGTGAACAGCAACAGGAGACACCTCTCTGCAAGTTTCCCTGCCACGCAGGGCTATGCCTGCAGCACCCGCAGGGCACAGTGCACAGTGCTTGGCTCCAACCACCCTTTTTCCCCTCATCTCTTTGAATGCAGCCCCCCGGGCAGTGTCCCCGCTGCTGCCGTACCCCTGCCAGGAGTGGGGCACAGAGTGGAGCGCCTGCTCGGCCACCTGCGGCGTGGGCTTTTCTACCCGCGTCTCTAACCAGAACCGCTACTGCAGGCTGGAGACTCAGCGGCGGCTCTGCATGGCCAGACCCTGCCCGGCTCTGCCGGCAGCATCCCTGGTGGTAAGTGAGGGACTTGGTGAAGCTGGTGTCCTGAGAAGGGGAAATGCCAGGCCCCCACCTACCTGTGGGCACCTCATCACCCTTCCTCAGCCATGACCTGACCATAACTCAGGGACAGATAAACCATCTTTTCAAACCTGGCTTGGAATATAGCTGTTGGCAGGAGCAGACCTGAATTTTGGGGTCTCTGGATGTCTGAATCCAGAAGCACTGTGGATCACACAGAACCCTGAGCCATGCCGGTGAGCTCAAGATGCCCCTATGGCCAGATATGCATTTGCAGCTCCTGCCTGGCTCCCTGGTGTCTCTGCCACCCCTTTAATTAGCCAGGCACAGCCCCAGCGCGGACAAGGTGCAAACCTGCCTTGCTCACATGCAGCCAATGCTTTCTGGGGCCAGGCACTTGCGCTGCTGGTCCTTAGATATGGGGGACACACCACCACCCCCTGCTCCATCTCCCCATCTTTCTCTGCTCTGCCTTTGCAGCAAGGAAATAGAGGTCATTTGTAGCTGTTCCCACCCCAGTTGCATCCCAGCGCCAGCATCTCATCCCGGCAAAGAGTCTAGCACAAGCCCATGGCACTGTGGTTTTGGTGAAGATGGAGAATGTGTCCCTTGGGAAACTGGGAAAGAACTGATGGACTTTGGCTGCAAAGGAGGGTGGAAATGGAGAACAAGATCCCTGTGTCACCCACCACCTACCCCCTCTGTGCACCCGCTGCCCCAGGCAGGGTTACTGGGCAGCATCCATGAGTTTCTTTGGCTGAAGAAAATGAAGAAACCCTGCCCCAAGTAGAACCCACCCGAGGAACCAGGAATTGGTCCTTTCCGAGATCGGCGGGACTTTTGGAGAGGCGATGCTGCTCCTCCACCACGTCTCACACATGGCTCTGCTCTGCGGGGGACACAAGAGAGATCATCTCCAGTACCTGGAAGCCCAAATCCCATGGGGCACCCTCATGCCCTGCCCCCCTAGGGATGAAGCAGGTACATAGGGCTACACACAACTCACCACTGCGCCAGGCTGAGCAGCTCGACTGTGCATGAGCTAAACCATCCCACAACATCCACCCTGCAACCAGCAGCTGCCTTCCTGAGCATGGGCAGAAGCATCCTCCTGATGGCAGCTCTAATTCACTTTCATTCTAATTCACCACATCTCTCCAGAATCAACACGAACCTTCCTGCTCCGCCTTGCCTCCTCCTCTCCAAAGTGCTGTTGGTTTGGCAGGGCTTCGGCGAGCGAGGAGCTCAGACACAGGAGACCCCGCTCCGCAGCCCCAGACATAGCTCCTGCAATCCAAACACATACCCTGCGAGCCACGGCCAAGAGAAAAGCAGGAAACAGAGAAAACAACTCACAAAGATGAGTCGGGGCCATCTCCCGACAGGCTGGAGCTGCTCCAGCTATGCAAGAGTCAGAGCAGGAGAGCTGCCCGGCAGCTCTGCCTTTACTTTCTCACAGCGATAACCCCTCTGGGTGACTGAAAAATGAAACCCAAATGCCCTCTAATGGCCTCCCACAAGCATGTGGAGGAAACGTTTTTCCCCATGGCAGGGCAAGAAGGACAACTGGAAAGGAGCCACGGTTTAGGTGACGTGTCCAGGCGAGATACGGACAGTTTAAATGTGTGGAATGTGAAAATAAAGATGTGCTCATCTAGGTGTGGAGCTTGTCTGGGGCTGTCCATGGGGGTGAGCCTGGCTCTGGTGAGCCCTCAGGAGCTTCACTGCTCATGGCCAGGTCAGCTGCTGCAGGAAAGGTCTGACCCAGGATGGGGCAGCTTGGAGGCACCTCAATTCAGGCTGCTTAGAATAAGAAAACAGGAAAAAAAAAAGTGAATCAAAGCACCGGAAACATTACTATAGGCTGTGATATCCTGGATTAAATTCTGCCCCTTTGCTTTTACTCAGCTCTACCAGTGGGACCAACCCACGGCACATCGGTGCTGGGATGCACAGGAGAGCACAGTATGGCACTGGCTACATTACTGCTGGGTCTGCAGCCCCAGGCACAGACCAGGCCATGCCTCCTCTCAGCCTCCCCAAACCCAAAGCCCTAATTTCCCCCTGTAACTCATCCCTCTTCCCACCAGCCCCACACCTCTTGCGCTCACCCTGGACCAGGATTTCCCTAACATCATGCCACCACCATCACCATCCCAACCCAACCCAAGACCATACCAGGGCAGATTTGGGGGGGCAGCGGCAAAAGGCTGAGTGGCAGTGGGAGCTCATCTCTCCTGCCTGGGGAAAGGCTCCCCACAAGCAGCAGGAAAGGCAGCAGGGCCAAGGCAGCCACTCACCTGCTCCCCCAGCCCCTGCAAGTGCTGAAAATAAAATGAAAGTCAAGCATGTTTTCAGCCACTTCTTGGGGATTGGGTGGGGGAAGCAAAAATATCTCACTGCTCATGCAGTTGCTTACAAAGAGAATTATTTGCTGGGATCATCTCGTGCTCTGCCAGAACACAGATGATTAATTCAGTTTAACACAGAAGACATGGTGGATTTGGCAGGCAGGATGAAAGTGGCCTGGTCTGCAGCTTCTGTTGACTTTCTACACCTCTGCAAGGCTGTGCCAAAAGAGCAGCGACACAAGGTACAGGTAGACTTTAGAACCACAATGTTCCTCGACTGACACGAATAAGATACATTTTACGTACTGAAAATCCTGTTTTTAAGCCAGTTCTTGTCTGAACATGTTGGGACAGGCTGCGGGCAGGGAGTGCTGCCAGGGCTCTCAACCCCTCCCAAATCCTGCCCAACCACCTCTGGGCAATGGTAAAAAGCAAAAGGTCACTTTTGAAGCGGCAACCTGTAATTCTCATCTCAAACAGAAATGACTCAACACACCTCTGCTATAATTTGCTTTTTTTCCTTTTTCTTCAAAATGTCATTTCTGCCTGATGCACTAAGCAGAAAACATTAAATAATGAATTAATGAATCCAGATAAATCAGAGTTATTTTTCCCTAAGAATACAGGGAAATCAGCTCTTGCAATTTGATTGCCAGTCTCACAATATTTGCTGTTCCCTCTAAAGCCCTGCTACCCTGGAAACACGTAGTTATTTGAGGATCACATTTATTGCAGCCTCTGACGCAGCGGAACCTGGGCTTTGCCTGCTTTTGTGGGGCAGCAGATAAATACTCTGCCATCCCCAGATGATCATGGCCACCTTAATGATAAAAAAAACCCCAAACCAGAAGACAGCTCACCCCTATCCTCAAGGCAAACTGCCAAATCTGCACAGATAAACGGCATATGATTTGACAACCATATTCCTGAACCACCAGTGAGCAACACATTGCAGCTCATTTCAGTGCAAGAAGACCAGCTGAAGGAGAAACTGTGCACTGCTGCATGAGTAGGCAATGTGCATCAGAATGGTTTTTCCCAAGCCATTCTCATGACTGATGATTTTTAAATGCCTGGAGTTGGCTGAGAAAGGGCTGGATGAGCCTCTGGTTAAAGGCAAACGTTTTCAGATACCTCCCTGATCACAGGAAGGCAGTGCTCAGTAAAAAACAAATGATCAGCGCCCTTTGTTTTACTGGTGGTGAAGAGTCTCGAATTGGTTGCCTGAAAGCCCATCGTTCAGGTTGTGTTTGTCACCTGCAGGAGCCATTCCAGCCCGGTGCTCTCTTTCACGCTGCAGCGTGCAAGGAGCTGGGTACTAGAGGGGAGTATCCCGATACAGATGAGGGCGGTAGCACCTCTACTGTGAGTGAAATCATGGGGCAAGCGAACACCTGAAACACACAAGGCAGGCAGGAGAGAAGCACCGTGCTGCTGCGTGTGTGCCTCCAACAGGTCCAGGGAGCAGATGTGGAGGGGGCTTCCCATGGCAGGAGGCACTCAGCTCCGGGCCTTCATTCTGGGGACAAAGTTTTGCCTACAGTGCTGAGAGCAGCTTGTCACCCTGCCCATGATTACGTCTGTCCTTCCCAGCCAGCTGCCATCTCTGCCTCAGTTTCCCTAAAGGCTGATGCTCTGGGACAACGGGGGACTGCTCCCAGTTTGTTCCTGTCATCTCAGCTGCACTTCCACACCTTCGCAGAGTTGCTCTGCAAGTGCTAGGCTGCAGGAGCAGCTGAAATGCATGGAGATGAATGGGGCAGGGGCAGGGCAGGACTGTTTTCCTGAGAGGTGAATCCCCACGGACTCTCTCCTCTGCTGCTGCTGCTGCTGCTGCTACTCCAGGAGCAGAGACCCACCAGAGCCTCTGCAAACCTCAGAAAAGCCATAGCCTCACCCCATGGGAACAGCTTTTAAGCTTCACCTCTCGGGGCATGCCTGCAGTGGCTAGATTGTCATATGGGCAAGAGATACCGTGCCGTCTTTGCTGTCATTTATGTGCTCCAACAAGCACTATTTGGAGTGAGCACACTGATAACTCCCAACAAGCAGCTGCCACTAC